CAACAGTCTCCATATCTTTGTGGTTGCAGCAGAAGTAATTTATTTCCTCTTTATTGTGTACTACATGATAATACAGGTAAGACCCAATGGAAAGTTTGGCTGACAGCATCTCCTTGTGTCTGATTTTGATTTCACTTACAAAAACTTCAGGACTGTACTTGATTTCAGTAGTGCTGCTGCTGACTTGCACCACTGGAAGACTGAATCAGATACTGTATCTGTATTAAATAATAGAAAGGCAACATTTCATTTGGCTGGAATGCTTCTTTTGCACAAGATAATGAGAAATTAGCGCGAGGAGGGGACAGCCCTAATCTTTAGAGGTGTATTGTATGATACAGAGTCACGAGACTGAAACAGTAAAATCCCTCTTTTCACAGGGAAAACTGATGAAGACTCTGAGATGGAGATACTTCCACAGCAAGTGGAATGTCCTGGAGATGGCCATTATATTGATGAGCTGGAGTGCCCTGTCAGTGTTTGTGAAGCGGACAATCCTTGGGACCCGAGACATCAGCTACTACCAGGAACACAAAGAGGAGTAAGCACTAATGCTACTTAGCGCATCCTTTGTTGGTACTACTTATGCAGAAACAAATCTATTTTTCCTGTCTTCCTTTCCAAGGGCCAGACAGAATTTGATAGTAAGTTTGCATTACCTGCCTTCAAACTGTGACTTGCTAAAAATGAGCAGCATTTGGGCTACAGCCTAGACCCTCTCTCAGCTCTAGCTAATGCTGTTAAAAAACCCATCTGCCATGTACAACTGAGCTTTTTGTGTGCACACAGCAGTAATTACAGACAGGAACATTCATGCGGGAACTCAAGTTAGCTCTCCACTGAAAACAAGGACCCGTGACTTTTTTCCAGCATATTCATTTATGCACTTCAAAGGCTTCTGTGTGCACGGTCTATTACATCTTTTCTTTTTTTTTCTAACAGCTGTGTAAGCTTTAATGAAACAGCAAGAGCTGATGCAGTTCTTGGCTACCTGATTGCATTCCTAGTGCTCCTCTCCACAGTGAAACTGTGGCATCTCCTGAGGCTCAACCCTAAACTAAACATGATCACTTCAACTCTAAGGAGGGCATGGGGTGATATCTCTGGATTCATCACTGTTATTGCAATCATGTTCCTCGCCTATTCCATTGCTGTGAGTACCGCTGGGGTGTCTGTTGTCTGCAGTCTGCATCCAGGTACTGTCAGGTTAAATTAATTATTTCTGAATGCTGAAAGCAATATAGCTTTGAAATATAAAACTGAATAAAGCTGCCTATCTAAATCTTAGGTTAGCAGCCTGGAGCCCACTTCTTCAGTAGAAGTGAAAGAGAAGTTAAAATATCCACTATTCTTTGCAAACTGAAATTTAGTGCAAAAATCAATCACTGAGATGAAAAAAATGGATGATCTATGTGTAATAGGTGTGACAAAGAACAAAGTACAGGAAAATAACTTTCTGGACAAAGCTTAAATTGGGGAGAGTGCAGCAAGTGCCTTTTTCTGTTTGGCTAGTTTTTAAATGGGAAATAATTATTTTTCTGCCTATTATAGGAATAGTCATTATGCAAATAAAATGATATTTTCATTCTAATGAGATTAAAGAATTATTGGACTGCATATGTCTATGTCTTATGTATATTTACAGTTTTAGCTGAAATGTTTTGTGTAAATCTCCTGGCAGTGTGATGTGGGAAATTCAGCACATCTCAATTGCAAAATCACTGAAAAAACAGAAATGATCTGAGCCAAATCCAAACTGATCTGTAAAGGGCAGTCCTGTGACAAATGGGACCTGCTGCAGTCTCACACTGCCTGATTTCACGTTTTTCATCTCTCCCTCCAGCACTGAGACTCTAGCAACTGAGTAGCTTTAGGCACTGGTGTGGCCACACACTTAACAGGTAAAATAAGTGATCAGGTCAGTTCCATGACCCAGACTGTTGTCACATCATGCAAGTGATGGTGTTGTGAAAGAAAGAGGCATGGATGGATAAAAAGGTGAGACTGCAGCAGCCCCCATTTAGATGGACACGGTAGGCTCACAATATATAAATGAAGAGAACAGCATCTTGGTTACTGAGTGCAAACAAGGAGGAGGTTGCCTATTTGTGCACTGAAAGGCCATTGTTTGTGACTGATTCATTTGGTCAATTACACAGGGATAAATCTGCTCCTTGGAGGTGGGCTAAGTTACTTTCATGATTTTGTCATGTATCTGCAGATTTTTTACATATCTAGTGGCAAGCTGAGCAGATATGAGACATTCTTATATCCACAGTAAAAAGTCTTACAGCTAAACACATTCAGAAAGTGTGAATCCAGTTCTTAGCTCTAGGCTAGTCTTCTTCTGTAACCTTGTTTGGTGTTTCCCCTGTTCATAAACAAAAAAAAAACACCAAACAACCCAAAAACAGAACACAAAAGAAGCTTAATCACTTTGATAACAAGCTAGGAGGGCTTTCTCTGAATACAGCAGTCATTAGCTGATTTTGCAGCAAGGGCTCTGATCATGACACAAGATTTGCCTTCTTCTCTCTGCAGACAAACTTGATATTTGGCTGGAAGCTCTACTCTTACAAAACTCTCTTTGATTCAGCAGAGACCATGGTCAGTCTTCAGCTAGGAATCTTCAACTATGAGGAGGTACTACCCCTAATTTTGAGAAGTTTATCACTGTATAATTAGCATCTCAGCTATCAAATGTGCTTTGACTCAGCAAATAGAAAGACTTTCAATCAGTGATAGACATTAATCTAATTTTGCAAGCCCCACAGCTTCCTAAAGCAGCCACCTTTTCTCATCAAGAAAAAGGCAGCAAGAGAAATATATCCCATTTTGACCATCAGTAGACCCATAATGAACCTTCCATTGAGAAAGGTGCCCACATTTTAACTAGATATGTTACTTACTTGTTTGGATCAATTTCTTTAGAAAGCTACAGACAGAAATGTGAGCAATGCCCTACATTACATTTGGTTTTATTCTTCTTGACTTTTTCATTAAGTTCTTTCAAATATTAAAATCTCCTTTGAACAGCTCTTTGTGAATTAAGCTAGTTCTCAGACATCTCTGACTGTGAAGTCCTCCTCAGTGGATGTTTTTAGACCATGGATCCAACAGGCTATAGGTAGCTTTGAAGATCAGTAACTGGGCACAAAGTTTTTCACTTCTACATCCCACTCATGTTGGTAATCATGAAAATATATTCCTACATTATAGCTTACATGAAAATTAACTTTTGGGATTTTTACACAACCCTTCACTGGTATGTGTCCACGACAGTCTGACTGGGCTTCTTTGCAAAGAATATACTAAATAAAAGCATACAGAGATTTCATCTATACTTTGAAAGCTGAGGCATGATGGAGCTTCAGCTGTTCTGTGGATAAACAGTTCTCCAGGCTTGTTAACTTTCACAAGAAACTTTCACACCCTTACAGTCAAATGCAAACACTTAAGAAACCCCAAACATCGCCCATATTCATATATCATATACATAAAATATTCTGTCATCTTTGTACTATGTCATATCAAGATAGGAAAGTGAGTAAAGGAGACAATTTTTTATATATATGTATAATATAGATAGCAAAATTTATTAGGCACAGGGATTTTCAGATACAAACTCCTTATTGTGTCTTAACTGCCTGTATGTACAGTTTTTTCGGTTTGTTTTTTTTTTATACAACCAAAATATGATGTCTTACCTTATTAATACTGCAGGTCTTGGACTACAATCCAATTTTAGGCTCCTTCTTAATTGGATCCTGCATAATTTTCATGACATTTGTGGTACTGAATCTGTTCATTTCGGTGATTCTGGTCGCTTTTAGTGAGGAGCAGAAGCACTATCAGGTGTGTTCATCTAAGCTCTCCTGCTGTTTTTAACATTTATTGTGCAGCACTTACTCACGATTTAGGTATTTTACCATTGGATGAAACCCATATAAACTCAGTCCAACTCCTAAGAAGTCAACATTTACTCATAAAGCACACTTAGATTTTCCAGACTTATGCTGTCCATTCCTGTTCAGACGAGTCCCTCTTCAGATTTAGTACAAGATCTGATTTGTAGCCTTCTGTTCACATACTAAATCCAGCAAAAGTCTTAGACTTGTGCCCCAGCACCATTGAAATCAGCGTCACAACTGCTACTAAAGTCCATGAGGACTTTACACTCCTTTCAAAAATGTCACTGTGAGTGCTTGACCCATTCAAGCTATTGATAGCATGGTGTAAATTCCAGCTTACTACTCTAGGACTGTCCAAAATTCCTGTATGTTTTAAACAAAGTCAAGGGAGATGAAAACAAAGGATATGGTCAATAGAAAGCAAGACATATTTGGTTTTTCTCATTTGCTTCATCTAGGCACGGTGGGTGGCTTGCTGTATGTACCACCAGCGGTATGGTAGCTGGCAAGTGAACTCCAGGCTCCTGTAGCAAGATTTCCATGGCCTTTGACAGAGCCAAAAGTTCTTCTCTAACAGACATGCTCACCCATGCCCAACTGGGACTTTTGATAAATACATTCGTGTGATGTTTTGCTTTGGCAGTTACCTATGCTCTGCTGTCGAAAGCCTTGTTGCTCCGTTGAGTGAAAGTTGGGTTATTTCATCTGAAGTAGAGATTTTCTCTTGTGACTTTCTCTGGCATCAGCAGAGAGTGTATCCGCATCTGGCCCGTGCATCCAAGTAACTTACTTCTCATTATTTTAGGCTTCAGAAGAAGAGGAGATTGTTGATCTAATGCTAATGAAACTTTTCAGTTTCTTCGGGATTAAATGCAAGAAAGAAGAGAAACCAGTCACGAATGATCAACTGGAAGAACCTGTCAACAATTAGATGATAACCACAACGAAAAGTCGCTTTGTTTGTGGGCAAAAGCTTCACTTGTTCCCTGTCAGCTGGCTTAGGTTATCGTGGCTTCTCACTGAAACGCTGTGGCGTTCAACCAATAAACTGTTGCTGACACGCTATTTTGCAGTATTAGCTAAGAAATCATGCTAAACCTAAGAGAAAGTGTCCCACGCGTAACTCCTGTAGCCTTAGCATCTGTATTCTAATAAACACTGAGCGTTTGTTGCACCGTTTGGCTAAACCCACTCGCTTTCCGCCAAGCGGCCGCCACGGAAAGATGGCGACCCCCTCGCATCGCCCCCCTCCTCCTCCCCCCGGGCCCC